CAACAGTGTGTGCCAACCTTGTGAAGACCTACAGAAAACGTTTGACCTCTGTCATTGCCAACAAAGGATATACAACAAAGTTTTTGTAGTTTTTGTAGTTCACTTTTGTTATTGACCAATTACTTATTTCCACCATTATTTGCAAAAAATTCTTTAAAAGTCAGACAAAATGATTTTCTCAAATTTTTTTTCACATTTTGTCTCTCATAGTTGAGGTCTACCTATGATGTCAATTACAGGCCTCTCTCATCTTTTTAAGTGGGAGAACTTGCACAATTGGTGACTGACTAAATACTTATTTTCCCCACTGTATATTTTGGATCGTTTTCCCCGACGTTAGTGAACTGAAAACGTAATGATTATCAGGAGGAGGTTCTGCTGCTCTCAGTGCTTGGGGGTGGGGGGGTGTTCGTCACTCGTGTTTTGTTTACGCTGTAATATACACTCTAACAAGTTTTACTTTTTCATAAAACTCATGACAAAGTTGCCTAAAAACATTTCATACTCTGTATAACACAAACACACACAACTACCTTTGTACTGGCTGGCTGCTGTGTTAGCTTCCTCCTAGCTGTGAGGAGGTCTTTCCTCTCTCGTCTTGGCAGTAAAAGGGGATAAATGTACATTTCCCTTTTGTAACCTCCGTCTTCTCATTTCTGATGCTGACTCTTGAATATCCTCAGGTTAGAAATGCTAAGTTGTTCCTGTAATGCTATGATCCATCATTGCTGTCGCCTTTCCTCATCTAAAGGAAAATGGATAAAAACTAACTACTCTATCATACCTGCTGGTTAGTGGACACAACGGCACACAACAGAACTCACGTTTTATACCAGTAGCTCACAGATGCTCTAACTTTTGTGACTGTTTCACGGACTAGTACTAGCAGCTAACGCTAAAAACATAGGCAGGAAGTGGAAGAGAGGAGCGTGGCCGGAATTTTACCAGAAATGAGTCATTAATGACTGTGGCATATAGGCTGAGTTCCAAGGCCAGGTCCAACATGGGTGGGTGATGGGGTGGGAGTGAATCCAGCTCTTAGTTGACATTTCATCCTGGGGAGGTTACGATAAGCACTGCCCTCAAGGCTGTGCCGCTGGGAGCCAGATAGCTAATCCAATTGTTTTGGAACAAAGCAGCCTTGAAATTCCTGCTGCATTTAAAGTGTCTTCACTGCAAACTCTGAGGTGGTGAAAAAAGCAAATCAGCCGAATTTGGGGTCTTCCTTGCCTCTCACCAATTGAAGCTCACCCAGAATGTAGTCCATACATGCCGAAGGGTCGCTGCTGAATTGTGATCCTCAGAATCACATCCAGTTTGCAAATTTTCCCCCAGCTGAGAGTCTGTGTGCTTCCAGCCCGGCAGAATCCTTCAAGTGCGCCCGAACAGCTCTTCAAGGCCCGATTCACTGTCAGGGTCACTTTCACTTTTCGATAAATCTGGAACCCTCCTCTGCCGATCAGCAGGAATCCAGTTATCATAATCCAATTAAATAAAGATCTTCCATGTCTTCAATGGAAAGTGGTGCTGGCATATCAGATTCCAGCCCCAGGAATCAGACAGATCCAGCAGCAACCATTCCACCCAGACAGCCATGTTCCCCTCGTTCCAAGTACAGAGAAAAAAATTGTGTCAGTTTCATTCAGAGTCCAGTTGACCAAATCCATAATTCCTTTAGTTTCAGATAGAAGGTGAAAAAAGAGCTCGAAAAAGCAGCAAAGCAGGGAAGGGGGGCAGAGAGAGCGAAAAGCATGTCCTGCTCCTCTGAAGGCCAAGCAGAAACTGTCCCGTACCAAGAGACAAAACCTTTCATAGCTTCTCCAGTTTTTAAATACCTTCACCTTATTTTAATACAGCAGTTTACCCCAAAACCACCATAAAGAGGAGAGCCATTGAGCTGCAGTGAGCTCACAAACATCACATCAGACTGACAGTCCAGCAAACAGGCAGAGAATTCATGTAGGTGTCTTCTACAGCTGAGGTTCTCTAACTGTGGGCCACACCTCTGAGTGGGCGCACCTCTGAGGGGGCGCACCTGTGAGTGGGCACACCTCTGAGTGGGCACACCTCTGAGTGGGCACACCTCTGAGTGGNGCACCTGTGAGTGGGCACACCTCTGAGTGGGCACACCTCTGAGTGGGCACACCTCTGAGTGGGCGCACCTCTGAGGGGGCGCACCTGTGAGTGGGTACACCTCTGAGGGGGCACACCTGAGGGGGCGCACCTGTGAGGGGGCACACCTCTGAGGGGGCGCACCTCTGAGGGGGCGCACCTCTGAGGGGGCGCACCTCTGAGGGGGCGCACCTCTGAGGGGGCACACCTGTGAGTGGGCACACCTCTGAGGGGGCACACCTCTGAGGGGGCACACCTGTGAGTGGGTACACCTCTGAGGGGGCACACCTCTGAGGGGGCACACCTGTGAGTGGGTACACCTCTGAGGGGGCACACCTCTGAGGGGGCACAACACACATTTTTATTCGTTTTTCCTCCAGGCAGAACTCATGTTCTGGTCTGAACCAAGTTAAAGCTTCACAGAACAACAGATGGACCTGTTGGGTTTAGTTTCCTCTGTGGTTAGGGCCAGGCTGTTGAAATGATCTGTGTGTGTGTGTGTGTGTGTGTGTGTGTGTGTGTGTGTGTGTGTGTGTGTGTGTGTG